GGAATTGCAGAGGTTCCCAGAGAGTGGCTGTCTCTTCATCACAAATCACAACCTCTAGACACTCAAGGTTCATGGCTGAACATGGTAGTTCCCTTACTCTTGAGCACCGTGTCATGTCGAGCTTTCTCAAACCGCTTAACTCACCCATCCCTCCAGGCATCTTCTCCATGCTTAAACAGTCTGATAAATCAAGGAGCCTTAACTTCTGGAGTTTCCCAATTGAGTCTGGTAACTCTAATAGTYCGGTACATGCATGCAGACATAGCACCTCTAAATCTGCAACATATCCAATCTTTTCAGGCAGTGTGGATAAATTATGACAGTTGGTGATCCTGAGCTTTTGTAGGTGGACGAGGCAACAGATTCCTGATGGCAATTCCACTAGATCATTGCAGTAATCAATGTCAAGCTCAATGAGRTTCGGCAACATATTGGAGATGTCGGTGGTACAATTTTCCAAAGCTTGGCGGACCTCACACATAACCAATGATATCTTCTGCAAATTCTTCAAAAGGAATGTGATGTCTTTAGGGAAAGGAGGAACTGAAATTTTCTCTAATCTGATTCTCTTTAATTGGTCTAGGTAACTTAGTGCYTGCAAWTCATTGAGTTTGGCATGTTGGTGCCCATGATTTGCAAGGATCAACACCTTCAGCTTTCCCATTTTCTCCATGAATGGAGGTAAGGAATAGTTTATTGCCAAGAAGTCCAGAATTAGAACCTCGGCTTCAGGAAGTTGCAGGCTGCACCAACTTGAGGCATGCATTTCACCTGCAGGACACAGTCTGCATGAGTCATGTTTAATGGAGAATGGGAAAGCAACAGATGGGCATTAAAGAAACAACTTCAGGAAACCTGTAATGATGGAGACAAGGCGGGCACTGAGGGGTTGATTCTCTTGTTCCWTCCAGCTGCTGGGAATACCATCTTCTCTTCTTTCCATTACAAGTCTCTTGCTTTGTTTTAGGTCTTGCTGCTGCTGGTGGCTCTRGTAGATAGCCAAGTCTCTGAGGAGATCATGCTGGAGAATGAAYAACTCATTGAATCTTCCATCAATTTCYCCTGYATCKTTCCTGGATTAGGAGGACAAGTTRGWCCCAGTTAAACGTTCATTTTATGGAGTTRGAGCACATTGGAGCTTTTACTAGAGATGTGATCAAGAAAATTTCAAGTGCAAGAAGATTTTAATTTGATGTAATGGAATTTAATTAACCTACCTTGAGGTTTCCAKCAAAGTAACAAGACTTTGAGTTGAAAGTTTAAGGAGGTTATTGTATGCATCACTTTCATCATTTAACTTGTAGAGTTCAACCCAAATATCTAAAAGAGCAGAGGCTGGGAYTCTTTGGTCCTCAGGGAACGAACATAAATCCAAGAAACATTCTCGGACTGTATGATCCATGAAATCTAAGCTGGTCCCAAGACAAGTCTGCAGTTCTCTGTGAGAACCAAAGATTGAACTACCTTTTGATAGAATCCTCTCTGTCCTTTTCCATATGCTCAGGGGCTGCCCTCGGAGTGATTGGGCAATCACCTTAACAGCCAGGGGAAATCCTTTGCAACCTCTCACTATCTGCAACTCACGCAGAAGATAACAAYCATTAAGYACTAGTCGAGTCCCAATAACCATGTTTAAATTACTGCAGAAAATATCAAATACTTGAATCCAATTAGAGAAAAATCAGCCTTGGTCTCTGTTTACAAAGCTCGGCAAGAAACAAGAATCAGGAGCCAATGTTGAATGGTCTCAACTAAAGCAATGGTTCTACTAAAAATCAAATCAAATGGTTTCTGATAATGGAATATATATATATATATACACTAATTTACTATAAAATAGAGTGAATACCCTTTTCTTCTGGATTTTTTTGTCTAAGCATACAACGGGTATAAAGAGAGCATATATGTCCTTAACTCTCACTTCAGAAGCTATCCACTTATAATCATTCAAAAACTACTAGAGTGTTGGAACCATGAATTATAACTATTCAGACCACTTAATACCTTAATTAATTTTTGGATAAATAAATAATAAAAAGTGACCATAAAATATAAATAATTTTGTCTTAAAGATACTGTCACGTGCAAATGCATATATATATATATATATATATATATATATATATACCTCAAATTTGGGTTTCTTAATGAATATAAGTGATTATTATCAGGAATAAGTTATTTGGACTCATTTTCCAAATGCAAATAAGGACTTTTCTTTGGTAATAAAAATTTATTGGTATCCCGACCTAAAATAAGCACTCCCAAACTTAGCCCCTGTGAACTAGAATCATTTTGGTGATTGGGTCATAGGTTGAAAGGTTCAACTATCTGGTTCTGACTGCTTATTCAAATAAAAATACAAAAAAGGGGGTTTGGTTGAAATTTTAGAGGGTACAACACCTATTAATATACGTAATAGCTAGGTTTTTATTATTCTATCCATCCCATAAACTTTTGTACAAATTGTACAGTGGGAACAGTAACCGGTGGGGGAATGAATGAAAATTCAACGGGGTAGTGAATCATATAGGTCAAGGTGTCGATAAATAAAATCCAAAAACCTAATAAAAATGTAACCGTGGGGAGAATAAATGAAAATTCAAAGGGGTAA